ACCCTCAGGGTTTGCGGCCAGGCTGCGGCAAGAGCTCTTTGGTTCGTTGGCTGGTGTCTGCAAGCGGGGGCAGTTTTTTGGATTTGTCTCTTGCTGCTGCTGCTGCTGCTGAGATGTCTGTACACCCCAAGCTGGCAGCAGCAGCAGCAGTGCATAAAGCCTTCGCAGCAGCAAAGCAGCTGCAGCTGCAGCAGCAGCAGCAACAGCCGCAACTGCAGCAGCAGGAAACGCACCCTCAACCGCAGCAGCAGCAGCAGCAGCAGCAGCAGCAGAGACACGACCAGCCGCAGCAGCAGCAGCAAGAGCTGGGGCACGAGCAGCAGCAGCAGCCGCAGCAGCAACAGCAACAGCCGCAGCAGCAACAGCAACAGCCTCAGCAGCAGCCGCAGCAGCAGCAACAGTCGCAGCAGCAGCAGCCGCAGCAGCAGCAGCAGCAGCAGCAGCAGCAGCAGCAGCAACAGCAGCAGCAGCAGCAGCAGCGGAGACCAGTAATAATGTATATAGATGATGTTGAGTCTATTTTTGTAAAGAAAAAAAATCAAACAAAAAAGAGCAGCAGCAAAACAAATAAAACCCCTCATTTTGCTCAGGCGCTGCAGAGCCACCTCGCAACAGTGAGCTGCTGCTGCTGCTGCGGCTGCTGCTGCTACTGCTGCTACTGCTGCTGCTGTTGCTGGAGATCTTGCTGCGGCTGCCTCTTTGAATGCTGGGGTTGCGAAGGCTGCTGCGCCTGCTGCAAAATGCAGTCTGCTGTTATTGTTGCTGCTGCTGGCTGCTTTTGATGCTGCTGCTGCTGCTGCTGGAACTGGAGCTGTAGCAGCGTCAGCAGCAGCAGCAGCAGCTGCTGCTGCTTCTGCTGCGGCCACCGCTGCTGCAGCTGCTGGTGGTGCAGCAGCTTCTGGTGCTGCTCCAGAAGCTTATGTTGCTGCTGCTGCTCCCCCAGCGGCAATTGCTGCTGTGGGAGCTTTGCAGCGACTACTTTAGAAGCAGCAGCAGCAGCAGCAACAACGACAGCAAAAGCAGTAGCAGCAGCAGCAGCAGCACTTTGTCTCGCATGTTATTTTCAGCTGGATGCAAAAGAAGACAATGTGCTCATTGTCGGGTGCAGCAGCAAACCGAACTCCCGTAAGTCTAATTTGCTGCTGCTGCTGCTGCTGCTGCAGTTCCAGATGCTGCTGCTCCCGTTGCTGCTGCTGCTGCTGTTGCTGCTGCTTCTATTGCTGCGATTGCCGCTGCTCCTAATTCTGCTGTTGCTGCTGCTCCTGGTGCTGCTGTTGCTGCTGTGTCTGCTGCTCTTCGTGCTGCTGTTGTTGCCGTTGCTGCTGCTGCGACTGCTTCTGCTGCTGCTGTTGGTGTTGTCGTTGTTGTTGTCGTCGTTGTTGTTGTGGTTGCTGCTGCTGCTGCTGTTGCTGCTGCCTTTTTTGTTGTGCTGCTGCCAGTGTGAATGCATAGACCACACCAGCAGCCGCTGCTGCTGTTGCTGCAGCACAGCTTGGATCTTGCTGCTGGTTCTGTGGCTGGAGCAGCAGCGCCTTCCGTGCATCTGGTGCTGTGAAACTGTTGCTGCTGCTGCTGCTGCTGCTGCTGTTGCTGGTGCTGCAGCTGCTGTTGATGCTCGCGCCTTGCTGCACTTCTTTGAGCTGCGGCTGCCGCTGCTGCCGCCAGATCAGCAGCAGCGGCAGCAGCAGCTGCTGCAGCAGCTGCAGCAGAGGGGCATCCAGGTGACGCTACCTTGCTTCTCTCAGCTCCTTCCACTGATTGAGGTAAACCCTAAACCCTAAACCCTAAACCCTAAACCCTGTGCTCACACACCTAAACCCTAAACCCTAACTAGGCGCACCACCTCTTGCTGCTCTTATCAGCCTCCTCGCTTCACTTGGAATTTTTTAAAGCATCTCTACTATGACTGCTGCAGCTGCTGCCGTTGCTGCTGTTGCTGCTGCTGCTGCTGCAGGCGACAGAAGGTCTCAGCGGCGGGTCTATAGACGCCTGCCTGAACTCTATATGTGAGGGGGCCCCCAATTTGCTGCAGAAGTTAGGGGCCCCACAGTTGTCTGCTGCAGGCAAGCAGCAGCAGCAGCAGCAGCAGCAGCAGCAGCAGCAGCAACAGCAGCAACAGCAGCAGAGAGGGACTCTGACGTCCGGCCAAGACAGCCACCGCAGCAGCAAGCATCAAGGGTCTTTCTTGTCCGTGCCCCAATCCTCCATGGAGAGCAGCAGCAGCAGCAGCAGTAGCAGTAGTAGTAGCAGCAACAGCAGCAACAAGGCAACAAAGGGAACGCTGCTGCTTCTGCTAGAGGAGCTGAAGACGCAGCAGCAAATGTACCCCTACACCTGGCGGCAGCAGCAGCAGCAGCTCGAGGCCTTCGCAGCGCGAGCGAGCAACAGCAGCAGCAGCAGCAGCAGCAGCAGCAGCAAAACGCAAGCGTCAAAAAAGAACAAAAAACAAAGAACTTAACCAATAGTTGAGAATTAAAAAAGAGCTGCTGCAGCAACAACAGCGGCAGCTGTTCACCCTGCAGCTGCAGCAGCGACTGCAGCGGCTTCAGTGGTTGCTGCTGCTGCTGCTGCTGCTGCTGCTGCTGCTGCTGCTGCAGCTAATGCCTCGTTTTGAGTGCTGCTTTCTCGAGCCAAGAAGGACAAGAGAACACTTCAA